CTACAGTGTCTGGGTTGAATCACTGAGAACTAGCTCGACAGCAGGCAACGCTGCCACTGGCCTTTACTGGTACTGACTGGCCTCTCTGACCGTCCGACCCTCCGGATCTGCGGAAAGTGAGAAACGCCAGGTTGTACACACCTTCTTTCAGTCCTTTCCTTCCTTCCGTCCAGGTTCCCAACCCAATCTGCAAACGACTCCAAGACATTCTTTCACTTGGAAATATCAAAAATGAGTGAACTGGCAAGAAGAGGAAGCTCATGGGAGAAAGAAAGGGAGGGAGGGGAGAGAGAGAAAAGGAGAGCGAGAGAGAGAAAGAGTGAGGCAGCTAGAAGGGGTTGCCTTTCCACTTCCGTAAGACCGCAGTCACTACACCACTGTATTTCGGTGTCTGTAGGGTGGCGGGGGCAGCACAGTGCCAGGCTTCAGGGAGAACTCGGAGAGGTATTCAGGATTCTCTGCCACAATGGGCCGGATCCGTCCATTCTGTTTGTAAAAGTATTTTGTGCTGTACTCTTGCAGGTAGTCCGGGTGCTGGAGGGTGCTTCGTGGGGGCAGGCTGTGATTCCAGTAGTCTGGGTTGTCAAAGGCCTTCTTGGCTTTCTCCGGCAAATTGTTCTTCAGGTACTCGGCATTTTCCAAGGTGTTTGCAAAAGTGTTGAGGTACAATGGCTCATTCACGTACTCATCCTCTGCTTTGGGCTGCCCGTTCGGAGCGTTGTGATACTCTGGGTTGTCCACAGCTTGGAGATCTCCATTCTTTCGTCGGGAAACAAATGGGTTCTCTTCCACTGGGTTTAGGTAATCTAAGGAAAGGTTAAAAATAAATCAGCAATGAGAGGGAGTAATTCATCCATGTAGCAAGCATCATGCGTGCGTTACTACCAGGCTGTACCAGAAGCAGTACACATTCCAGCAAAGCTGGAAACTAAACTACAGCTCTCGCTGAGCCATAGCCCGTGTGCCTTGTTTGATCCTGAACTTCCTCTCGGAGTATGACCTACAGAGCCAAACGTGCCGAGCGACTTCTGCCTCTGCTGCTGGCTCTCTCGGCAACCTTGGACATATCAGTCAAACCCTCTGCTCCGCAGCCTTTCCACCCAGAAAGCTCTACAGAAATCTCAGTTAAGCCTCTCTGCACAAAAGCCATCCCCAAGGGCTAACTTCTAAGACAGCTTCATTTCTAACAGAACAATTTGACTGATTAAAAACCTTCCATCCCTGAAGGACAAAGGGCCTCGAAGCATTATGAAAAAAATGATTCAAATGAGCCCTGGAAAGAGTACAAGAGAGTCTTACATCAGCTCCAAAACAGGACTTGGAGCCGGTTACAGTTGCTTCAAATCACTTCCTGTGGATTAACACCACAAAAAATTGTAGATGAATTGCAGAAAGGTTTTAAGGCATATGGAGCTTGCATGGAAAGCTAGACAGGGGGTGGGGAGGGAAGAGAAAGATGAAGAGACTGGCTGTCCCAGGTTAAAAACACACACTTAGTAAGCTCCCTCCCACGGTCACACACAGGTGACTGAGCCACAGAGCGATGGATTCGTTGGGTGTCATGTCCTGGCTTGCTCTGTGTATAATGAGGTCTCGCTGCAAAACACAAAGCCCATCGGCCAGGGCAGGAAGGAGGTTGCTGACACTGCAAGTGGGCTGCAAAGGAAACGGCTTGGAGGTGGGCCGGGGACAAAAGTGGGCTGGGGCCCCTGCAGCAAGATAGTCAAAAGCATCCAGTTCAAGGCTGAAAATGATCAGATCAAACCCACTTCCAGTATTAATTCTGCCTTTCATCTCCCTACAAAACAGGGTCTCCAAGCCACTGCCATTAGTGAGGGATGACCTCTCAGCCTACCTGTGCCGCACAGGGCTGCCAACACAAGACCTCCATCTCCAGTAGCATGGCTCTGGTCATGGGCTCTGAAGACACTTCCACACAGAGTCCTGCCCGCAAGGAAACAGATCCCACAGCCACAGAGTGGCTGTGGTCCTCACTTCAACTCCGGTTTTATCCAGGAAGGGGCCAAAACTATTAAATGCAAAAGGTCAAGACTTCCTGAGTACCTTTGACCACACAGCTGCAAGTTTGCTGAATCTGAGAGGTGGAACAGGCACATGTGCCCGCACCAGGAGCATAGTGGAAGCATTTTTTTTTAAGCAATGACAACCAAGTAGTGCTTTGATTTGAGACCCCCAGCTGACAGAGAGCGCGCATCATCGTGGCCACACTGACATCCCTGCATCTGTGCCCAGTGAGACAGGAAGGCAGTGCTTTCTCCTGAGCTGTTACTACCGCATCCCCGAGGGCTCAGGTAGCACCTGAGAAGTGTTAAGCTCCTGCAGAACTCTGAGGCTCCCCAGGGTGAACCTGTATGTGAAGATATGTGTGGGCTCACACTGAAGCAAATTCACAGCATCAAACCTCTTCTGGAAAGGGCTGTTGCTCAAGAGTAGGGCCACGAGTGCGATCCCACAATTGCTACTGCCATGGGTCAAGCGCCAGGACTCCCTCCATTTCCACCATGTAACACAAAGGGTAAATGGCTTCCAAATTCTGAAGCAAACCCGGTAGTTACTTGGCATTTACATTTGCATTAATTGATTTCTTCAAAGCTAATGCAAAGGTTTGAAAGCAAATTACTAATGACACATCCCCTTACATCTAAATGACTGCTGTCACTATTTAAAAAAGGAAGAAACGAATGACGGCAAACTGGGAAGTGTAGCACTCCGAGCTGGCACAGATCTAGGCAAACTTCACCTTGCAGTGATGGTTTCTCTGAAGCACATCTTGTTCTTTCAATCCTAAACTTCTCTTGGGTATAAAATGCCAACCGTGTGTATCGGTTCTGTGATATGTTCAACATGACATTTACCAAGCACAATGCCATGAAGATAAAGAAGATCAATAAACAAAGCGAAGTGGAGACTATGGCTGGCCAAAGATAGATCCTTTTCTTGGAAATAACTGAAGATTTGTGATTGGATAAGAAGGAGGTTTGGATTTTTTCATTCCTCTCTCTTGTTATCTCCCAGAAAGAAAAGTTAAAGGGGGAATTACCAAACTTTACATTTTGGCACATTTGAGCTTTTCTAAGTGGCAAATTAAGCAAAGAAAAATGAATCTCCATGCAAAGAAATATTAACCAAGTCAGAATGTTTCAACCTTACTGGGTTATTCAATAAAGCCATTTCTGGTGAGAAGCTGCTTGTGTAGAAAAAGAGAGAATGCAGTTAGACTAGAGCAGGAGCTTCCCCAGAAAGACAATTTTTTACCTGTTTTAGGTTTGTCTCGCATCGGCGTCATGTACCCATCCTCATCCAGCTCTCCCCGGATGACCCGCTCGGGTATGAAGACCGTGGGATCAGCGCTGTACCTCTGGGTGCTGCTGTCCTCTTTTGCCAGGGTTGCCACTTGCTTTCGTAGTGTGCCATTACAGCAAGTATCTTCAAAGATCTCTGCTGTGGCTCCTTGAGCAACCGGGGCTTCTGGTATTATGCAGCCAGGAGCTCTGTACGGCATCGGCACTTCTGCAGCATAGCCACCATCTCTATAAACAAACTGGTTCTGTCGGAAAAAAAAAAGGCAGCATGAGAAAGGAGGCTCTGAAGGGAGATAAGATTCAACAGCAAGTCATCTCTGCGGCTCCTGTGCCTTTCCTGCCACACTTGCTCAATGATGCATTTCACCGGGCAGGTGAAGCCTTGTCCATCCTGCAGACTACTGCGTTTCCAGTGCTGTGGGCTGGGCAGCAGAACAGGCTCTGTTGTGGACCGGCAAAGCATCTGTCTGCCTGGTGGTGCTGAGCCAGCTTCCCCTCCCAGGGAGGCACCATCGGTGCAGTGAGGGGAGCAGGGAAGCAAGCTGGCTGCTCAGGGCTGGAAATGGGGCTAAAAATGGGGCAGGAAAACTTGTCTCCCACCTAGACATGTGGAAGTTGGATATACACAGCTGCAAGAGGCAAACACGGTATCTCCTCTTCTATTAGTTTGGCAATCTCCCCTGATTTCTGAACAAAACCCTTAAACCTCCTACCTGTTAGGGAAATCCTCCTCCCTACATGTTAGGGAAATCTCCTTCTGCAAAGGGGACTGGGGACAGAGGACAGAGGACATTATCATTATTATACTTTTAGGGTGTCCTGCAGTGACAATCACACGGTCACCCAAACACGAGGTAATTCCATCAGGTATTGCATTTCAGGCTGGTGAACTGTGTTTGTATTGGTACCTCAACTCTATGGTTCAACTCAACCTACTATTTTGCTTGTCAGCAAGAGCGTGCAAGGACATTTCAACATCATGACCTATAAATAGGAAGGAAAGCCTGTTACCTAAATGCTTTTTCAAGAAAAGTTGGCAGTTGGCAGAATTTTAGGTGTAGGTCCGTAGAGCTTGTACACGAATCCAGGCTGAATGTAGAGATCCTGACTATTTGATTGCTTACATATACACTTCATTCACTGTATGCTTTTGGGCCATTTACGTACGAAAAAGGGGTTTGAAACAGAAAATACATAGTGAAGGAAGGAGAAAAACCTAAAGGATGAAGGTTGAATGTGAAATACTTACTCCTGACATAGGGGTGTAGGCAGGAGGAGGGCTGTGTCCAATTTCACTCTAATAGGAAAGAAAAATGGAATGATGGATACGTAATAAGAGGTCACATGAATGAAACAAGTCACATGAGCTGTATGAGCTAATGGGGAGAAACATGCACATCAGTTAGATCTCCTAACTGAATCCAAAATTCAAAGAATTCAATCATAGCAAGCGTCTCAGCAATGTCAACAAGCTGTGTGCCAGTCTTAGGGAGGGCTACCGAGTTCCTCTTGCTGGGTAAGGGCAAGTGCCATGTTACACCTGCTGACAGCTGTATATCCTGCAAATGTCTCGTGTCTAATTTTTGGAAAGGCAGATTGTACAGAAAGAATGACAGATGGTGCACTCAACTTCAGAGGAAATACAGGGTAGGAGAAGTGCAGAAAGTATCCAGCTCCAAGGCAAGGCTTCCTTTCCCAGGGACAAAGCAGGAGAGGGATAACTGGGGGGGGGTAGGAGGGTGCAGGACTGTCATGAGGCTATCACAGCTAGCTTAAGTATCACAAGAAAAACAGTCCCTAAGCTTTGGTAAACCCAAATAGCACAGCAGCCGTGGGGGAAAACAAAAAAAGTAAAAAAATTAAAAGTAAAGACAACATGCATCCTCACATAGTAAGGATTGGATGTACTACAGTCAATCTTTCCCTTATAAACTTCTTGCCAAAACATCAGGATGGAGACGATGATCACTGTCAAGTATCTTACTTTATAAAGGATTGTTCTGTGTTTAAGCAAAATACCTGCATCAGGAAAAACATTAAAAACAAACATGAACTCTTTTTAAATGCATGCTGCCTGTCTGAAGACCCTTTTCTGGTGATCAAAAATATGCCCATTTCCTTCTATTTGAAATATCCTGGCAGCCATTTTGTTACTCAGATCTAGTGCCTTGTGTTTGAGGTGTAAATGTGGTGATGAGCCAATAGTTAGAGATACACTTTTCTAACATCCCCATGAAAATTCACCCATATTTAGCCAAGTTATGACCTAAAAAAGCCTCCAGGTTCAAATTACAGAAGTGCAGGAAAACCTTTGTTAGCTGAATTGTCTATCTGCACCATCCATTAGCAAGGCTTGAGCAGGACTCTGTAGTTGTTTTTCCCCAGGGAAACTAGGTGCTGGAAGGAAACACAGGAGAGGATCTATCCTATGGTCCCAGCGATCCCCCTGCCAGCGGGGGGAGGAGGAGGAGCAGACTGCAAAGGAGTTGAGAGGCTTGCAAGGGAAGTGGTGCTGGAGAAGCTGGCAGCAGGGATGGTCAGGAGCCAGGGAACGGTGGTTTGCAAAGGAACAGAGGATAATGGCAAGTGAGAGAGTCTGGGAGGTGCAGGGAGGAAGGGCTGGCATGTGACAGGAGGCTGAGTAGGAAGGGAGAAGTGGTAATAAGACCTAAACCTGACAGAGAGAAACGGGAGGCACAGGGACAAAAAATAGTCTGAAAGCACTGAAACAGCAGCTGAACTCAAAGCTCCTCTGCTGTCAGCAAATCGCTGACTAATCAAATGGCCAAATGCAGGCCTGCTTCCGCTGGTGCAGAGGGAGCCGAGCAGCCGCCCGTCCACCCTTAGCACAAGTGGCAGAGCTCTGCCCCGTGCAGGCAGCGGGAGCTCCGCCGCTCTGTGCACGGGTAAAAGGGCTGAGGGAGGAGGGGCTGAGACACCACTGAAGTCTAGGCCAATCGTGACTGATTTCACTAAGCGTTCGCCAAAGAGCTCGTTATGTTTGAAAAGCAGAGCTTAAACTTAAGCCCTAGGCCTGGGAGCAGCTTTGGCCTCTCTGACCCAGCTGTGGCTTCTGACAGCCGGAGAAGCGAGGATGATGCCAACTGCAAAGAAAGAGCCGTCTAAGGCAGTACAGAAAGAGATGGCAGAGGGCTTGGCTGGATCAGCCTGGAAACTTCCGTGCTGCCCCATCTGTGCGTGGTCTCTCGTATTCAAGACAAGTGTACTCGTATCCAGAAGAACAACAGCCAAGAAAGGTTCACAAGCAAGGGAAGGGAAAACCTGTCAGCAGTTGCCTGGCTGAGATGATCACACTTAAGAGAGAAGATCATAACAGAAGAGGGAACAGAACACATTACTTTTTTTTTTTAAAGGGAGCAAGACATCATGGTCCTCAGTACACATCTGGATACAGACTATGCAGCAAGCTTGTAACTTGGCAGTCTTCTGCAAGAGACTTTTTGGAGACAACTAGAAAGGTCCCTTTAAACAGGGAACACCATGGAAACCGGAGATGCTCTGATTGCGGAGGTCAGATCCTCTCTGCAACCCTCACCTTTCTTTTGTACCACAGATTTACTGTCACCTTGTAATGACACGTGGACAGGTTAGTTACAACCCAGAACGTGTTAGACAAATGGATAAAAAACATCCCCTGAGTCTGCCAGATGCTACTTTGAAGTCCTACTGATGGCCATAGGATGTTGCACTGCAGGAGACTTAATCTGCCTTCTCCTTGCCCTCTGATCTCATATTTACTTGCATTCAGGGAAGCTTTCTGTATACTCCAAAAAGACAGAGAAGGAAAGACTGAAGACAGGTAAGTAGTAAATTATGGTCCATGCAGGGTGGTGAAGATTTAGGCAAACTGATGATTACAGGTAGGATGCAGAGAAGAAACACAAAGTGCTGACTACAGAGAGTCAACTCTCTTAACAGCAAGGAATCCAAAGCTCTGCTGGGAATCCTCAGCTCCGCTGGGAATCCTCTACCTCCTTGTAAAGCTCCCCAGCTTCCTTCCCTCCCGCCTGCAGGCTGCGAGACTCCAAAGAGGGGGTTCACTTCTTTGGGTTTCCAAGGTGGCTACAGCCCTCCAGATTGTACGAGAGTGAAAAGACCTGCAGCAATACTGTGTTAGTATTATATGCAGGGGATTGGAGTTTGCTGTGGTCTGCTTTTCACAGACACTAAACCAGTGACTGTAACCACTCCTTTTCTACTCGGTACTACACCGTGCTATATTACACACCTTTAATTTACATCTTTCTATTTTCACAGAGGCACTCCCATGAATTTCAACTTGTGGTTCATTGATTCTGAATGAATAAGGGGAGAGCTGTCTTGAACTACTTTTAGTTCACAGCCCACAGTGATCTCTTAAGGGTAACTTAGAAAAACAAGTCCTTTGTCAACAGGCTTGGCTTCAGTTCACAGGGCTATGCTCCTCTGCCTGTAAATGTTTAGATGATTAGCAACTTAAGAAAATATTGTTCTAGGATGGCCACATTATCTATCCGTGGGCATGCTTTGCTCCACCCTCATCTCAAAAGGCTAAACCCACTATCCTATCTTTAGATCTTCTTGGCCATGACTAACATTTAAATACATACTATGCAACTATAACAACATAATAACAGGCCCTCTTAGAATAGCCCTGTCCCATGATGTCGGGAGAGAACGGACTAGCATTAATGCATTTATTGCTGTTTTTGCTGACAAGACCCTTCCCAGTCAGTTACTTGCCAACTAAGATCACAGTAACAGTATTTTCTTCATGCCTCCCCTTTAGCTCTGTACTAAACATAGCTGTCTTGCAACACCCTTAACACAGAACCTTACAGCTTGGCTCTTCTCCAAACCACTGGTGTCTGCACGCTTTTATAATTCTTTACTGTTTTTCCCCGTGAGTTAATACCCTGTGGCCACTGTTCCAAAAAAAGGAAGCAAAGAAAACAGCTGTGGTGCCAATTAGTGAGGCTGAAAATGTGATATAATTGTTTAAATGTCTTTAAATTGCCTGCTAATTGCAATGTGATGTCATCATTTTGTAGGTTTCCAAGACAAGTACTGAAAGCCCCTGCCAACTCTTATTGGTCAGGACATGAATCACACTGTGAGCAGAAAATACATTTGGACCTTACCAAGTAAAACTTAAATAGCTTGATTTGTATGTGTAATCCAATTTACTTTGCTGATTTTTTTTTTTGGTTGTTGTTTTTGCATCTTAAATAATATCTTGGAAAAAAGAGCTGATGTTCCTTTACTGAGAAGGTCTAGGGTTTTGGATTTCTGGTCCTGAAATTCTGACCTGAATGATCAAGATCTCTAGCTTGTTGAGATGGACAGAGACTTCAGAGGCTGGTTGCTCAAAGACCTCACTACATAAACCTACTGAAAAAGTCTCAACTTGCATACTAAAAAAAAAAAAAAAAATTATCAATAATCACCCCCTTTTGATAGTGTAATATGCATTATATCCATTAGCTCTGGCGTGCACACATCCATCGACATTTAAACTCTAAGCATCCTCCAGAAGGAGCCTAGCCTTTTTAACTGCCCATGAGCAGCCCTAACCAGAAATGCCCGAGATTTCATTCTTTATACCACACGATTGAATTTTAGGCACAAACATGACATCAGGGAGAAAAGATAAAAAACAAGCAAATGTCCCCTAAAACCTTTTTAGAGGCCCTTTGGTATTAAATACTAGTGACATTATCAGCTATTATAACCACTAACGTTTGTGTAAAATGAGCCTTGATAGAAGAGAGGTAAATAACACTTTTGTGAATATTGGCTCATGTTATTGCTTTCTATTCATTAATTTCATTTTCCAATTCCTTGCTTCTAAAATCTCCCAAAGGTAAGTATATCTTCCTTTATAGCAGGGACATAATATTTTCTGGCTGCATGTTAAACTGTAATGAAATCAAAGCCTTGCTGGGTCCTGCTGCTCACATTTATGTAGTTGTGTGAATATGCCTCTGCCTTGACTCTTTTCATTTGACTCTTTTCATTAGCGTCATGCCTGGAGTATGGCACCCAGAGCTGTGTTCCTCCCCCTGCCTACGCTACAGCTCATCCCACACCAGCCCTATGGTGACCACAGCTGCCTTCAAAGCCGCACCCACAGCAGATTTCAGGTGGAAGAAATGCTGAAGGTACTCAGTGATGCGATGTTGCTGTGGGACTATGGGTGGTACAGGACTATCACCAAATAGAAAATAAATAAAACTTTATTTTACAGCATGATCCAGTACCCCCATGCTTTGTTTGCTAGCACAGCGTCCCAACAGC